AAAAAAAAAAAAAAAAATCATTGCAATGTCACTTTGTGTCCTTGCAGATTGTCTTTATATGAGTGCTGCAATAGGTTTTACAAAACAAAGGTGAAAACTCCTTTTTTTAGGTCAGGGCAGCAATCAGGCTTAATCTTGACATGAATTAATGTGAATTAATTCAGGCTTATTGGTTGCACTTGAAACAGGAATTTCAAGTCTCATCCTTAGGAAGAACAAAGGGCTATAATACAAAGTAATTAGACTGATAAAATAAAAATGTGTTTATATTCTTCCCCTCCTAATCTGGCAACCCTGCAGAGAAAGATCTCCATGCAAACACTGCCTGTCGTTATAATGAAGTGCATCTTTTTACATGAGGTCCTACTGTGAAGATAAGAGCTCAATGGGTGCATTTTAAATGACAGAGGGGAGAAAAAGTCCTGGAGATTTGAACCTTCCCCCTCTTTAGCCTCTGGCTGGAGAGCTGATGCATGTTTCTGTGATGGAAGGAAACTGTGTGCCCCCCCTCTTCCTCCATTCTCTCTCCTCGTGGATGGGGTCAGACCACAAATATGGGCCAGGAAGAGTCCAGACAAGAATGCGGGACAATTTTTAGAATCCCCTGATTGCATAATCAGCTTCCACACTGCAAGAAAACCATGTGTCAAAACTAAACCTTGAGTTGATTTTGATTTGTAATAATAAAAAAAATGCATGCATGATTCTATTTAGTAGGAACCCATTTTTTTCCTCTCTCACTCACTTGTTTACTTTCCTCTTCTGTCTCAGAGCTCAGACTGCAGGAATGCAGTTTTCGTGTGGAACAGCAGAGCAATACTGCCCCCTAGAGAGCAAACCTACACCTAGCTTCTATATTCAAAAAGCCACATTTTCAACATGATTTTACCTGCCATGCTCACACAATTTCCCTCTTGTAATCAAAACATTTAGTCTCTATATTATCTCCTAGCCCTTCAATATAAGAATAGATGCGATCATGTGAATTAAATTTAGTTCTTAATAGGGATGTTCAGTCAGACATTTCTTAAAAAGCAAAAAACATTGTGTGCAAAACTGATTCCCTCAAAATAGTACATTTTTATCCAAAAGTATTTATTTTCCATTGAAATTTTCATGTTATTACAAACTCCAGTTTTACTAGGATTAATAAAATGGTAAAATGTAAATACAATAGAATAAAATCTGAAGTGTTGTCCCTTTATTATAAAGTTTCCCCATGTTAATACATTATAGAAGCAACTTGAACCAAAGTTAAAGCTGCAGGTCTTTTAAAGCATAAGTGTACATTTCCAGACCAATGGGTCTCCCCTTTCTTAAGTTAAACTGGGCTGGATGAAGAATGTCTGAGAGGCTGAATTTTCAAGCCTTGCCACAAATTCTCAGTTCTATTTGGGTCCGGCGCTCAAGGGTTGGCGCTTGGCGTATTTTAGCCGCATGTCTGGTCCAACAAACCTGAATGAAATGGGTGAATGCAGACAGGTTCTACTGAGCTCAAATGTAATGACGGCTAATGCCTTAAACACATTAGCCTTTAGGTTTACACCTTGATATAAACTGTTTTGAAGTTGGAAGGTGAAACTCTGCCCCTGTATTCCTTCAACAGGTTTCCTCCACCCGTCTTCCCTCCTTCAATGTTTCACAGCAAAGCAAACTGGACATTTTACTCCATCTCCCTATACTCTACAGCAGGGGTGCTCAATTCCAGTCTTCAACAGCTACTATCCTGCAACTATTTGATGCAACCATGTTTAACACACCTGAATCTCGTTATGACGCCTCTGCTGAGCTAAATGAGGGGATTGAAGCTTTAGATTCAGGTGTGCTAGAGAAGAGATGCATCTAAAAGTTACAGGATGGTAGCTCTTGAGGACTGGACTTGAGCACCCCTGCTCTATAGTATTAGGGACAAACTGCAAACAGGACATCTGCTGTCTTTCTTCTCCCCACTCTTCCATAAAGATCTTATCTGTGGAGTCAATCACTAATAGTTATTTTGTTAGCACATTCTCCCGTGGATCTCTGCAGCTCCTCCAGAGTTACCTCTGTCTTTTGTTTGTTATTCCAATATTCCCTAACAAAAAGTCACAGAAAAGTTGGATTTACTTTATGATCAAAGTACACTCCTGTGGACTGTTTTCACCATTTAGAATCTGGCTGATATTTAAAGACGGAGTGAAGTCGCATCAGTACATATTTCTGCCACACTTTCCAGTTTTTTCTTTGTAAAAAACTAAGTTTGAAAACCATATATCCTTTCCTTCTATTTCCCTATTATAAACTACTCAGTGTTGGTCGAACACATCTTCAGTTAAACAGTCAAATAATGTAATATAGCTCCTTAACAGCAAAGCAATGGCTCCTTTCCAACAATAATATAAAGGATCATCTGCCTCCACCTCGTACTACTTTCCACAATGTCTTAATTAAGTCTGGAAAAGATAAACCACCCAGTCAAGGCTCAGCAGATGGCTTTTATAGCTTCTGGGAAACTTTAATCATCTATGTTACAAAGTAAACTCCCATACAGTAAACTAACTGTAATGGTGCATGTCTAATTTGAATATTATTCCAATTTAATTCTTATGGTCATGAAAATCTTATGAAATATTTTTTCCAGAGTACTGATAAAACGCTAAAATGCTGTAAGATGACTAAGGGTTGCAGGATGTCATAGAGATCTAATGATAGGCTTGGGAGATAAACGCTTTTCTTGCTTTTAAAGTGTAAATGAAATATCTTAATCTTTTTTTAGTCTTATCCTGGAAATGTCTCAGAAAAACAACAAAAAATAAATAAATAACTGAAACCCACAGTGGAATTTTGCAGAGTTGGCAGCAAAGGATGAGGCTCTAAAAGGCAGATATTACAGTCAGGAGGCCATAAAAAAATAACCCAGTGCCACACATATCACAGAAATTGCTGGTTTTTGCAACACATATATTGTCATAATTCAAGGAGTGGTTACACAATAATACTCTTTACGACATGACTGAAAATACGCTCAAGTACTGAATGGTTTGGTTCAAAAAGGAAAAAAAAAAAGGGAAAATAGCAACAAGGGGAAAAACAAGTGACATAAGAGGTTGGAATCTACTACTACCAACCCTAAAATTAGTCTGAGGGCTGCCCCGGGACTATTTGGGTTCTGCAAAGTGGAGGACAATAGTTTAATGTGGAGGACGGACACGGCGAGGATCCTGAGAAATCCCTCGAACATGTCCCTTTGCAGAAGCCGCTCAGCCCGTCGCAGGGCTCGCTTTTTATTGAAGGGGAACGTCTGTCTGTTCCAAAACATTACATCAGTTTTACTGTAGCAGGGAACATGGACAGCAGGGACAGAGCAGGGTCCAGCTGCCTGAGAGGGCAACATGTCCACACCGAGACACAAAGAGAGCGAGAGAGGACAGAGCTCCATTGTGCCTGCCTCTTAATTACATAAGCGGCGAAACTAGAGGGAAGCTTAAAAACGCAGGCCAGTGGGAAGAATCCTGCTGTAAATTAAATCTCCCAGCAAAATAACACCTCGTATAAACACACGTTAGAGAAGGCCGGCACTTAAATGGAGCTCTGGTGACGTGTCAGCGCAAACGCTCACTCTCACAGGCCCATAAAGATCAGCCTGCTGAAGTCCAGCTTCAGGCGGCGACTCGTTTAGTTTCAAACTAACAGACGTGCGTGAGAGAGAGAGAGAGTGTCGCTGAGAATGCCGCTTTGGCACAAGGTTTGGTTTGATCATTCGTATGGCCTCCTCACAAAATCAGCTTCCAGCAAACTTATTTTTTACACCTTTAGAACAATTTAATGCTCGGTTAAGTCTCAACCAGACAGATCACTGTGTTTTACTGGGATGTACAGTTGATCTGCATTGTGTAAAATGAGGGAAATGATGCATTACCTTAACTACTGAGACCTGATGCTCTCATTGGATATGACCAAAAATATTC